CGATGAATCGTACGGTATTTCTTATTTAAGGACAGAAGACAAAACGGATTAAACGGTTTCTTATGACATCTATTTTTGTCCGTCTGCTCACTTTTGGATGCGCTTACTGCCTAAAATCAAGCCAGACAAACAGCAGTGGCGAAATCAAGGCGGGCATTCTTTGAGGAAAATGCATCAGAATGATGTCTCTTTCGTCTGTTCCAGGGAGATTGAGAATTTTTGCTTAAATATCTCTCTTGATCACCCTTGTTTCAAAACTTCGAACTCAACAAAAGTAGCCCACTTTTGTCATAAATATCTGCGTTCGCTATTACTTTCACATGGAGGTTAACTTCCAGGCATTTCAACTAATTTAGGAGGTTAAATTGTGTGTAACCGTTCACTTAATTTCAAAAATCTAAATCACGACCTACAAAAATATTGACAACATCAGGATTTTAGTCGTGTGTCTCTGTTGTCGCCATAAAGTATCACAGTCATCGATTGAGTTCGAAAATGGAACAAGAATTGTTAGTTAGTCCTGGGTTCCCCCTTAAATTATTTACAGATAATATGTGCAAACATTCGATGAAACTTACTGTTGTGTTTAGTAAAACAAATGGCTGCTGCTGAAAAATCCTGATAGCAGTCATGTTCGCAGATTGCTACGGACATGTCCTTTCCTTCTGGAATAACGGTTATTTAACTTTTCTCTTACGTCATGAAAGAATCTTTGCAAGATATTCAGAGAGAATGGGTTATTAAAATTCCGAAACTACTGAGCTTAATGAATAGAAACAATCAAATACTATTTTATTACCCAAACTTTAGCAAATTCTACGCTTGTGAATATTTCTTTCGGTGATATCCCCAAGGAGTGTAAGCCTGGCACCCAGTTTTGGATGTATAACACGCTGAAACGAACAAAATAAGTGTCTTTGAGTTGTCAATCGCCAGTTTGGTGGCTTTTGCCATCTGAGATGAGGATAAATTGGTAAAAAAATTCGTGGCCCTAGAGGTTTGTCACTGATGTTTTCACCTTAAAGAGATTTATCCAGTTTACAGTAACATGTCGGATTCGAGCTTTGTTGATATGCCATCATTGTCTCATATACAATAGTAATATTTGGTCAAGACCGTTTTAGCTAGTAATTACAGTTTCATAACGATAGAGGGAAGTTCTAACGATGACACTTAAACTATTACAGAAAGTTTCTGACCTATTTAAGTTCTGGCAGGCAGGTAGTATCATCAGCTCACACAGTTAGAGTGTGTCTCATACTCAAGTGCCTGGCGAGTGTGTTGACATTACATTATATCAGCCGATTTGTTCAAAAACATACATAGCTAACTCTTCATCAATTAGACCCACAAATTGATGCTTCATGGTCAACAAGTCACGAATTTTAGAGAAGATACGTCATACTTTCAAGCAAGATAGATTTAATGTGACGTTCTAACATGCTAGTAGGTACGCAGATACAATGTTGCTAATTGGTTTTATTCACAGATAATCTCATAATGTCTAAATGATATTGCCCCTGTTATAGATAGCAGAGAAGAAGGGAACAGAAGAAAAAAATAAAACGAAAAAATGGACTAAAAGACATGAGAAAGTAGGGCGACAATGATATACGCGGTGAAATACTAGGCTTCAAAAAGAGATATATAAAGTAACAGCTAATCTAAGCCACTACCACATCAGGTATTAAATAATTTATCTGATCGTTATTCTCACCTATACAGTAAGAAACTTGTACAATAAAAAAATCCATTTCTAACGAATGAATTTTTAAAAGAAGAACGAGATTTCGAGCTAATTAACACGTGTGAATTTTTTGGTTCTTCAGATTCCTGTTAGCTGTTTACAATCTGTGGTATTTAAAAGTCAGAATTACGAGGTGAATTAGAAGCACTTAGACAAGTAAATTTATTGAGATGTGTTGTACACACATACCAGCATAGTACTGCTGAGATGTAGTTGAATTAACAGAATAAATGAAAATATTGCGAATGTATATAATCTCTAGATAGAAACTTTAAAATATTGATGGTAGTAATAAATTGAGGAGTTAACAATAAGCAACTACATAATGAGAAGATGCCAATAATTTGGAAAAAAATGGGTAAATTTCAGTTAAAACTAAAACTGCTGAATTAAACGAGATTCGAAAAATGACTTGATAGTATGATTGATTGTGATACGATCAAAAAGGATTTTATGACATTAGGAACTAGTTTATGGTAATAGGGCTAGAAAAAATTAGCTACTGTCTCCTTTTAGACATACAATTCAGGTTTTCCCGTCCGATATAATCGAAGTCTTTTTATTGCATTTTATTGTATCTTATTATTTTCGATGGTGAAGTTATGTTGAAGTTCATTAAATAATATAATCCTTCAAACTACCGTGTCTCAAACAATACCTACTTTCTCTAGTGAAGAAAGAGTACGATATGATGCGTAGTGCAGTCAGAATAATTACTTTGTTTTTGGGTCTCAACATTTTGTTCAACGGCTGTTACAATGGTGTAATATATGCAGAACAACGCGTTCGCTAGAGCTTGCCTCCAAACTAACTAGAAGCAACTGCGTCTGCTACAAATTTAGACCTTTGACTCGTTTGCTACTGTTTCCTCATGTTTGATTGTCGTCTAGTTGTAGTTGTAGTAGCTTGAATTAGCAGACATTAATGCTAGGTCCTGGACTTACTGACTCACCATGACCCTGGTTTTTAGTTCACATTCCTAAAAATTTGTGCCAACATAAACTCCTCCCCATGTTCTAGATTCATTCCTCTTGCAGTGTCGGGAGTCATAGAGTCAGTCAATGGATCATTGTGATAGATAAGATGTCATTTATTATGTCAGTTATCATGTTTTGAAACATTTTGAAGTTAAACAAAAACTCTTCCTTGCACAGCAAAAATAAAGACCGTCACAACACATATGAGAACTTATATGTTCTCAAATTACCATTTAAACTGTTGGCTTTATAGAAGTTCAACTGACCACCTTTAGTAACAATAAAAGCATATTTGGGACGCGCCTCTCTCCATCTAAATACCAAGCACCTGAATTGATAATAGAGAGTGAAGTAGTCAAACTTATCGACCACTTCATTTATCTCGAAAATCTGATTAGCCCTGTTGGGTTGGTGTCTGTCAGAATCTCATCACAAATTCAGAAAGCTCAGTCGGCTTTTTCCAATTGGATCACTTGTGGGGTAGATAAGATATCTGTTTGACAATCAAAAAATAAGTTTGCTGTACACAAGTTCGTCTTGTTTTTCTTTAGACGATATTTGTAGGTTACTAGGGCCCGATAATAGGTGTCTTCAAAGCATCACTAGTATATTTTGACACCACTAAGTGATAAATGCTAACGTTAGGTATAGGATACCAGGTGAATATGACACTAATGATGTAGGCTGGGAGAATACTAGGGGCTGCCAAGTCAAAACATCACATCAGTTCATGAAGAATGAGCATTGAGTTGTCATGTAGTTAGGTGTAGACTACCTGTTTGAGGTCCGCGTGATTAACTTTACCAATAGTTAGACTTTGAATGTAGTAGCGAAGGCGTTTAAAATAGCCCAGATACATGCACTCATTATCTTGCGTTAGACCCTAGATTTATGGATTCCTCAAAAGTTCTGTTTCGTTATTTCACCAATTTATCTTAGATGCATAGTCTTTCCTATTGCCGTTAATACTGTTGGTTTGAATTATTTTTTCTGGTAAGTGTTCTTTAGCGAGTTAGTTTTCTACGGAATGGTGTCGCTAACCCCATGCCTAACCCTCAAGCTTTATCCGGGTTCGGGATTGGCAGTAATCCCAAAAAGATCCCGGAAAAATTATTAATAATGCTACATTTAATACTCTGGGATTTGCCCTGGCAATTTCCATCTCTCTGTGCTAATGAGATATAGCAACTTGTACCGATATGCATGCGTGCCAGGTCCTACGTTACGTTTGGTTGACTGACTGAATGAGCCAAAGGAAAGCATGAGATAGTAAATCCAGACAAGCTCAACACAAGAGATGACAGGTGAATTTTTTCACAGTCTCCATCACAGCTAATAACCAAATAAAACGAAGTATTAGCACAGTCACGGTGACAGCTTGAGATACCGTAACTTAAAAAGAAACGTTTCAATCAGCAAGGAAGAATATCATGTGAGATCACTTATCTTCTATGAGATGTAATCTCCAAACCTGTACCTTTTACCTGTATCGCAGTTGAATGCAATACCAAGTGCTATCTTTTCGAATACTTTATGAAAAATAGGTTTTTTAAATCGAACAAACAGCTTCAGATCTTTATATCAATCGACTTAGAACGAGCATCTGTAACTCGTCGCTTTAACCACTCATTGTTGAAACCCATGGACTTCACTGCTGCTGTCAGTGTTTTAAATGTATGTCCACAAACCGATCTTTTATTACCTTTTTGATAAATAGAAGGATATTTCCCTACATCTAAAGTCACCACAGAAGCTTATGACTAACGATATTATTTGATCAGCATGTAAAACCTTAAACAAGATTAAAGAGTGACTTTAGATATGTCCACTTACTTTTCAGAAAATGGGTATTCACTAATAATAAGTTTGAATAAGATCACTAGGTAAAGTCTGTATGAAATCTCTCTGTCAACGTATAAAATCTATCAATGTAATCAGGAGAATAGCCATCAGGCCTTGCAATATTCAGCTCGTTGGTCGAACAGTCTAATGACTAGCTAAACATATTTCTGGGTGGTGCATTAGTTACAATACTTCTGGTCTGATCGATGTATGAAGCAGCCAAATGCATTCAACTTGGACAAATATCTTAAACGGACTGTCAAGTGCTTTTTGCATTTTATTCTTTCGAAAAGACACTTATTGAGCTACATCCTGTTTTGGTGTGTTTTTTAGTACTAGACAAGTTCTGCTCTCTTTTGTATTTTAAGACCTCAAGACCATACATGATTTTAAATATCATTTTAGGCCTTGAAATTATACAAATTATTTCGGAAATGTCTAGGGAAAATTCTCCATATATTCAAATTGAAAGAACACTCTTAATTATTAAGCCGGATATTATTAATTATGCAGATAAAATAGAAGAGCTTATCTTACAAAAAGGATTCTTGATAATACAGGTAACTATCGATTCCTCAGAATGCATAACAAAAATTAATGCATTTGATAGAAAAGACGCGTTCATTTGACACCAGAACAAGCAAGCGAATTTTATGCAGAACATTACGGGAAAATATTTTATGCAACATTAATTGCCTACATTAGCAGTGGTCCGATAGAAGTACTAGTCATAGCTAGAGAAAATGCTATATCTATTCTCCGTGAATTAATTGGTCCACAAAATGCATTTAGAGCTAAGGCGACCGCACCTGCAAGGTAAACTTACTAACATTCTTATTGAATATTTCTTGTATAGTTTAAGAGCTATTTATGGTACAGATGATCAACAGAATGGAATACATGGAAGCGACTCGTTTACAAGTGCTGAAAGAGAAATCAGATTCTTCTTCCCAGATAGTAAGTGGCGTGAATGAAGTTTTGTACTTCTTTCTCACAAATCTCATCAAACCTACCATACTACTAATAATCATATTCTTACTGAAACTAACTTTGGGGTAATTTTTCAGAGATCCAGTGAGAATCTATGACCGATGGAATTGAACCATGTCGACCACGAGATAAGCACCATTGATTACGGTGGATGATAGTCACTCAATATGGGAGAGTGACTTGAGTTGAAAACATAAACCCTCGATGGCAGTTCAGTAATTTGAAGTTTGAGCGATTCTGACGAGAACTGGAGTTTTTAGGTTTGAGCTCTGCTAGGATCGTTTAGGGAAGCTGACGAGGAGTCTCACATTAGAACAAAACGCCGCACTAGTACTTCCTGATTTTTAACAGCTTCCCAGCTAAATCTGGTACCTGATATAAAATATAAACTATTTTTTACTGTATGCTTATGATAGTGGAAAGTATGATTACGTGGCGCCAAAGAATCACTCCGAAATCAACTTTGCCCTAAAATTGACGTAAGCCTATTAGTTTTTGTTTACATTTCAACATGTGTCTGGCCCATCCACTTTTACAGTAAGAGAAATGGTTAGGAAGTGCATTTGTAAGGTAAAGCTTGGTTTAAGATAACTCAAATTAGCTTTAAAACAACAAAGGGTTGATGACAATATGTTTTGAATGGTAAAAGTTGACCGAGCTTGTCAACAGGAAACTGAAGATATATTGATGCATCCTGGTTTTTATCCATCATAACAGTTCCAAATATCTCGAATAGAAAATTTGTGAAAATTATATGATGAATTAGCACACTGATTCACGATTTCCAGACTTCAAGACGGTTCTCTGAGTGTAAAATAAAATCCTGACGTGGAACCCAAATGTTGTTATAAAAATTCATTTTCTCTTCTAGCATATGCACATCAATAAACTCATTTGAAGTTAATAGAATCCATAAAGCTGTCTACGAAATCCGATACTAAGCGCCAAACCTACCTTCGGTAGCTTACATCAGTACTTCACAGATGACCAAGTCACCCGAATAAGTAATACAACCAACATACCCAAAGATTTCACCACCCCCATTTTTTGAACTAGATTTCAGTGTGAAACCATTATCTTACTGTTAGCTTATATGAAAATACGGGATCTAATCCACCTAAAATATGGGAACAGGATGCTTTACGAAGGGTACTTTCAAGAATACAGAGGGTAGATTGACTAATCAAAATAATGCAAACTTAAAATATATGTTTAAACAAAGTTTTCATGCTTTTAAAATTGCGTGGTTATTTTTTTCGCACAATGTAATGTTCCTATTATTAAAATTACTCATTCATTTAGTGATCGTTGCACCGGTTCCCGTAAGACTTGCAGCAAAAGATTATTTAGTTCGGAATGTAAACCCAACTTTACTAAAAGGTTTGACAGAACTGTGCAAACAAAAACCTAAGGATCCAGTAGTAAGTTGACTTATTGATTTTTTCAAAAATATTTTCGAACTCACGTAATAGTATGTAATAAATACAGGATTATATAGTTCTCATGGTTTTAGATGAACCTGGACTGTTTATGTTAAAAGCTTTGATTTCTTACCGTTGGTTTACTAGACTGAAACATTTTTGAATATCGAATTTTATTGGTTTGGAAGTTTGCTTTTATTCTAGTATAGACTTAATAAACACTAGAATGAAGTATGTACCTAGTAAATGGGTTCTAAATACTGTAGAATTTAAATCCTTAGTTCCAACAATGACCACAATTAAAATAAAAGTTCGGATAAAATAATAGTAGTACTCGTAGTGGTAAATTTGAATTTGGAATGTAAAGCAAACTGATACTGCCACAGTTACATTGGATGTGATACTCTCATTTTGTAGGTAAAAAACGATTTCGCGTTTAAAACTACGACAGTGTAAAGAAACAGAAGATGACGTAAAGCTTTTTTTGTTTACAAATTAGGCATTCAGTAATATCACATTGTTCTTTGATATTATTGTGATCGACGAGGCCGTTAAGTCGCCAAAAACAATTCACGGATAAGATTATCTTATTGCTATTAAGTTTTACATGTATATGAAACTTCAATGATCTTTTAGGTGCTCAGTTAAATGGTAAGTTGATGAGCTACTGGGATGCCATATTTTGTTTAGACGCATGGTGACGTCCTTTATCTGTGCATTGATGTTTCAGTGTAATTAGATTTCGACAAATCGGGCGACTTTTTACTTGCATAATGATTTTATGCTTGTGAATAGCTCAATGACATGTACCTGATTCATTACTAAGAGAATAAAATAAAAACACAGCTCTCCACAAAGCTCACTAATTTCACGTGGAATCTCAGTAAAATATTCCCGTCTACCTACAATTTTGTAAGTTAAAATATCTCAGTGATAAGGATATATTAAATTGCTCTAAACATTATTCAACTGGGTTCCTTTCATCAGCTCCCCAATTACCATATAACTGTGATCGGTACCCTATACTATTTCGATCATGTTGTTCAAATAAATTAAATTTCAGTTATCGATTGGGATTGATTTTAACGCTGTTAAGCCACTGAAGATAGATGTTCCTTTCATAAAAATTGAGTATTATTACTTAACGTCTCCTTAATCTTCATGTACATAAAAAACTTGAGACTTTTAACACTTGACATTGAATGGTTTTTATTGATAACAAATGCTTGTGTTTGATTTTCTCCTTGCCTAGCTTTGGCTGGCCGACTGGCTGCTGGAAAATAATCCAAATAAACCTCATCCCATCGATATGGTCACCTCTTGAAACACTAATAAGAAAAATTTAAAGAACGTATGAGGGATTATGAGAATGCAGTTTTCAAACGAACCTATAGTCATATCTGAAAATAAATATGTACTTCACTTTGTTATATTTCGTCATAGTAATAGATGTGAAGCGGTAGTGAGTTACAGTCCAGCGTGACGAATTCCGTGTTACCTGTAATGTATTTACGAACTGACCACTGAGTGAAAGCACATCAATGGTGTTTAATTTATATAGGAGTACCAGTACTTGAATACTTTGTAATCATCAAGTAAACAGGTTACCAAAACACTATAACTTGCTAACATGTTCGAAAGTGTACATCTATGAATATAGTTAAACCACTTATAAGCATTTCGAAATTTTACCTTAAATCGATTTTAATGTAGCTGAAAAATTCAGTGGCATTTCCAGTCTTACTATGAACTAGTTCAACGGATATACTTGGGGTTATGAGACACTATTTCATACTGACTTTTTAAAAAATAGTTTAAGAGGGGATTCGCTCTCTTGCCCATATAATCAAACTTTTATTATTAATTGAAATCATAAATTCGTGTGGAATCACTGCTAAGCGTACCTTACCATGCGACTGACAAACGTTTTGTAGGATTCCTGGAACCACTTCACTAAAGATGTTGCAAAACAATGCGAAAGATAATTGTCACAATGTCAGTAAAGTGGAGAATTAGAAAGTTGATGGGAAATTTATGGTATCATTCGATGTGTCAGCATTACTCCCGAATGTACCCTTAGTGGGAACAGGAGATTATACATCCATAGAATAACTGATAGTACTGAATATATTTTATGATACAGAAATTTCCGGATATGTCTAAAACGTACTCTAGTAGCTACGAACAGACCAGTGGTCGTAGATAGAAGATTGTGAACGCACGTGAAGGCAGTACACTAGAGTTACAATAAAGCGCACAATTATGAACAAATCATTTGTCATTTTATATATTAAAAAAATCACATTTACAATAGCTTAAGTAGAATTCTAAGCTATTGTACTTCACTTAACAAAGGGTTCGAATATTTACTGAATATATACCATACTTCGTATTGGGTGAGGCTACTGCGTTATCTAGGATAGATTATTTTTATTATAAGCAAATAGGATTGGAACGAAATTAGCTGGATCCTCGAAACTCATTTGACTGGTGTGGTTGTTATGTACATTTGGACAATCCATATTCACTGTGCGAATGAGGAATTTGGCAATATTCTTTAGTAAACGTCTCAAGGATGGTCGAAAATTATTTCTTTGATAGCAAACTGTAAGTACTCCACGTTCGAACAAACATATCTTCCATCAAGCAATTTTGCCGGTTTCATCAGTACGAGAAGGTATAACACATATTTATGAGCTGGAAAAGTTCATCCATTCGCCTTTTCAGTTCGTTGAGTTTTTTGGCACGAATAGAACTGGTTGAAGTTTTCAGGGATTAGACGAACTTTTTTATTTAAACATAAAAATAGAGATGTCTCGAAGCGAACAAATCTTTGCACTCCCACTAATCAAGTTTCTAGGTAACTTATCTGAAATGTTTTCAGTCAATAAAGTTGCACTTTAAGTATTCTTAAAATATGTAAGCCAAGTACAGATTCGTACTATAGGTTGTTGCAGAGATAGTTGGATTTCAGCGATCTCAACAGAAACTAATCTCAGATAGGCGACCAATAACGACCAGAGAGTGATCAACATATATAGACCATAATCACTTACTGAAATTTTACAGGTCATAGTTGAATAATTATCATGTTGATCTGAGAAATACAACCCCCACAGATAGGAAGTTTACGTCCCGTAATACTTGACATAAAAACCTAATTATGTTCTATCAAAAGATTTGAATTTATTAAATCATTTCAATGAAATAGTGGATTCGATACTGCCAATGTCTAAGATAAAATAAACGCATATCATTATTTTTGAATGTGAAATGAATTACTTGGTCGTAAATAAAAAAATATGTATTTATTCTCCATTAATATCAAGATTAATAGTTAAATATAAATAAGGAGGTTTATTATAACAAGTAGTGAAGTGAGTACTGATGCGATAAATAGATCCATCTTGCCAAATTTGAAGAGTTTGGCATTACCAGATGAGTATGATTTCAGCGAGTCTACATTATAACAATTTGTCAAGCCCGTAGCCACATTTACGTACTGCTTTTCAATTCGTTGAATTAATACTATTATTTTTACGAGAACCAGAATTAGTATTAATCAAATGGGAATTTATACAACCTTGGGAATACAGTTAGTTATGGCAGCTGAGCAATATATTGAAAACTCGGAGATTCCACACTGAGTTCATTCACAGAATTATAATCAATACGGACAGGTCTAACCTCCTAGAATGAGCATTTTGAAAAGTCTTAGCTCTCATCAAAGATTCGGTATATTAATTTCAGCGACTAAACGATCACAGAATTGAATATAAAGCCGATCTCTAAAGCAATATTTGCTGGTGATTTTTGGAGTTCAAGAATGAAATCACAAACCTAGGTCGTTTCGTGGAGATTTACTCATTTTCACTCTCCACTCACTGTTGCTGCTTTTTACACGATTGAGTAATGGTTATTCAAGATGTTCACGCATTAATGAAATAGGTTTCTTTTGGAAAGTCAGGTTTTTTCAAAGATTATATGGACCTTTAGAGATGAGTGCAAGGAAATTGACTTAAATTTTATCTCCTTTGAGATCTCTTCTAGGAAAGTATCAAATTTAAATGCGACTCCTAGTTTTCAAATGCTTCTCTTGAATTAAAGTACAGCTGTCAAATAACAGGTTCCATCGAAACTCCAAATATAATACGTAACTCATGTCCCATCCACTTCACAGATGTTTGAAACATCGTTGACTGATTTGTCATTTTTAGCCGGTAAGTCTCATCCAAAGCCAAAACTGAGAATTCAGCTCCTTTACCATACACAAGCAGTACTTTGAAAACACTTGCAACTTATACATTTAATTCTGCTTACAAAGACTATTTTAGAGTCACTAAGTAATGTATAGAAGACTGTTTAGCTACTAGTCTTTGATAAGCTAGAGTTGGTATACATTAGTAACAGACGGAAGTTTATTCGCTCGCATAGGAACCTCGTCGGTCCACCATAGTTAATGAATCTCACATGTAAGTAAAGTGGTCAATGAACTTGACTACTTTCTTTCATATGATCGTACTACGCAATGACTTGGACGGTACGTTAATGACATCATAATCATAGGTGATAAAGGTGAAGATTTCGACTGCGTGTTAAAATAACTTAACACAAGTCTAGAGCACCTCTCTCTTACATGCGAAGAAGAGAAGAACAACCAACTTCCTTTTCTAGACATACTGATTAATAGGAGAGATGATGGTTCCATCCAACCTTCTATATATAGAAAGCCAATATCTTAATTTCCAGTCACTGCTCAATTCATTACAAACGTGGATTAATAAAGGGCTTATTCAGTAGAATCTATCGTATTTGTACTAGCGATACTATCGAAGTAGAGACGAAGCTCTTGACTGATACGTTAATGAATAATGGTTATTCATTGAAGTTCATAAACCGCTGGAAGGGTTGCAATACGATTAGACCTATGACGCCTCTGGCACCCAAGAAGCTAGTTTGCATTATGTTACCATCTAAAGGCAACACAAATAGTCTCATGTTGAAACGGAGACTTAAATTAACCATCAACCGAACATGTTATGTAGCCCAACTTGTCATTATTGAAAAGATAAAGTCTGTTTCACCAAAAGCTCAAACAGCACGTAAGCGATTGTGTCACATCCCATTGTGTCTATCAATTTACATGTATGTGCGGAAGCACGTACATAGGGAGGAGCAATCGTGATTTGCAATTAAGGGTGGGTGAACACACACCGAAATAGCTGCAGAAACAAATGAATTCCAATGGTCAAATAAGATCACAAGATTGACAGATATCATCCTCCATTGAGAAACTTTTGATTGAGACTGATCATAAGGTTGAAACCAAGCCAGCATTTGTAGTGTTATGCGAAAACCTCCAAGGACATATACTAAGGCTTATTGAAGCCTCGGCTATACGGAAACTGAAAGCCCCTTCATGCGTTCACAAACAATTTTTCCTTACCCTTAACCCACCCTGGTAATACTGATTTATTATCCAGAGTGCTAATCACATTGATTTTGTGTAATTTATTATTTTTTTCAGAGGGGGTTTTGTGGAGATTTTTAGAAATTTCAACTAGTATTATTTTTTCCTTTGTTACGGTTTACCTTTGTTCTGTCGTCTAGTTAACCTTTTAATTTTCATATAAAAATGTCTTAACAAGTATGTGTGATCAGGTCGTTCGAAATGTATTGCGCAAATATATCACATAATCCTGATAAATTTCTTCTTCTCATTGCTTTATCGTAGTTGACTTAGTTACTCTAAAGCACCTGATCAACGTTAGGAGTAATTAGAAACCACTCAATTCTTGGTGTATTTCACCATAACTTATAATTTTATTCACGTTATTGCCTTTGTATTTTATTCTACGAAATGTGAAAAACAAATGGATTCACCGTTTTAAACTTAGTCAGCTAGTCCACCAATACCGTGAGCTTAATGTATGTGTTTAAAAAAGACTTAAATAGTAATATCAACGAGAATGCAATTAATGTTTGCGATTGTAGAAAAAAAGGTTTCAAGTAGCTGCTAGCAAATCTGGTTAGGTCAAAAATGGAAGTGTACTTCAGAATCCAATTCATATTAACTTTACTTATTTATTTGAACACATAAATATTGGTACAAAAAAGGACCGAATACATATGCACCACACAACTCACCTGATTTGTGTATGGGCTGTGATACTGCCTGGATGCCCAGACCGAAGCAGGTGATTTTCTTAGGGAGCCCCACAACAGGAGCCTTTGACATAGAGGTTCAATCCACAAGGTAGTGGAGCAATGTTAGGAGACGCGGTCCCATGGTAGCTGGTGGCCAACAATAGGTTCGTACGCCAT